CTGGATTCATGTACCCTCTCCAGGCTCAGGGATCTCAAAGAAGGGCTGCTGTGGTACACACTGCATTTCAAAGTGGGGTGAGCTGGGGGCTTCTGGTTGGTACCGGCTTGTCCCAGGCCCTTAGCAGCAGCTGGTGCTTCTGCAGCTTGCACTGGCCCCTTTGTGCTCACATTGGCCTCTGCCAAAGGGCAGGTGCTACCCTTTCTGGCACCAGCTTGGTGTCACTGCTGATACTATATTCCTGGGCCTACTACTTAGCCCTCATCTGTCTGGTGGGAATCAGGACCCATATCGCACAGCTGCTGTAAGCATTCCCAAACATGGTGGCTAGAATGATCACTCTCTTTATTGACAGTGTTACTGATTCTAGAGACTATGCCCGCCAAGAATCGGCACTCCCTTTACTGTGGCTGCCTCTTTTTCCTTTCTCCTCCCCTCTCTTTTAACCTTCCCTCTTCCCCTACTATCTGTCAAGATAAGGCACGTGCTGATTGTGTACTTGCGCTCTTGCATTGTTGAAGGTGGCACCCCAAGCAAAATGGAGGCATGTTCTGTGCCTCCTGAGGCTTCCAGGACGTAAGGGGCAAATCCACCCCCTGCGTAGACTCCCTGGTGGACCAGCACAGGACAGGATGCATCTGGGACCAGGTAGGCGGGATTAGGGAAGTGCTGAGCAATAAGGCAAGAATAAGGACAAAGCTGAGAGAGAGAAGCATGCACATACCACCAGAAGACCCTGGCTGGAGGCTGGGCCACAGAAGAAGCTACTCAGAGTGACCGAGGCTCTTGAGCTAGGTCCCAATCACCTGGTTGGGGAGGCAACCAGAGCAAAGGTGACGGGAATCTGCATGCTGGCTGGTTGACCTGGCTGGGCTAGGTGAGAAGAGTGCCTGTTAGGAGGGGAATGGAAGGTGACCACAGCGCCCCCTCCTCAGCTGTTGCACCTGCTGTGTGCTAGGAAGCTACCCACCCTCTGGGCACTGCGAGTCTATGTAGTTTTACTTGGGCTGCTGGAGTTGGAGGGCAGGGCTGGAGGCTGAGCCTCCCTAGCCAGGCTCAGCCCCTTTTCAGGGAGCCACAGGGCCTGTAGGCTTGGAGACGAAGGGCTCCAGCATGACTCTGCATCTGGGATAGTCTCTCTCAACCACTCATTCACACTCTCCAACCCTGGAATGTGGTGATGGACAGGCCTGTCTGCATTTCCCCTGAGGAGGCTCATGCGTTACGTGCCCATGGTGGCTAGCTTGGAAGTGGCAGTATGGGCCTGAGCCCAGGGTAGGTTCTGTGCCTTCCCCTGAGAGAGGTGTGCCATTTGAGACCTTGTCTGTGAAATGGGCACAGTGCCACATACCTGTGGGCTCTAGCACAAGGCCCAAGAGGGATAATACACAGGCTACATGTCATTCTGTGTTGCTGGCACCCAGTTCTGGCTTGATAAATGGTAGCCATCACTGTGATAATGGGTTCTGCCCCTACCACCATTTAGCCAGGACTAAGGACATGATTGTCCTTGCCTTATTCCCAGCAAGGTCACTTGCTGCTCTGGCCCTCTCGGCTCCTCTCCTGTAACACCTGCCCCCGAGGGGGGATGCTCTGGGCAGGGTGAGGTCAGTCCCCTGGCCAGTTTGGCCATGACCATCACTCTGTGCAGCTCAGGTTTGCTGTCCCCAGCCACTCCCTGAGTCCTGCTTCCCACACTGGTAATTAAGCTCACAATATCTAGTGTAAGCAAATAATAACAAGGGCATTATCTCCTTGTAGTCTGTGTTTTTCCTTGCCTATCATAAAGTAATTAAAATAATGAATGCCTTGGAAAACAATAGGTAAAAAGGCTGGCAAAATAGCATTGTCTGCTGTGAATTATTGATGCATTTAGCACTGCTGTGGCTGCAGGGCACTCTCTACTTCCCAGCCCTCCCATGCTGCCAGGTGGCTGTACAGTCAGAGCTATCCAGGCTCTCAGGTGCTGGCGATGGGACCAGTTCAGCAAGAATCTCTATCGGGCATTCCCACAAAGGAAACACCAAAGCCCTTGCTGGAAGGGTCTTGCCTGCCCCAGGCTCTTCCCCATCCCTTTCTCTCTGTGTATTTCTGGTAGAAGCAGGCAGTGCTTTCCCTGGATGGGTGAAGAGGGTAGGACAGAGCACCTTATGTTGCATCAGGGTATGGGGAAGGAGCTGTAGCTCTTTTTTTTTTGTAAAGATTTATTTATTTTCATTTGAAAGGCAGATTTTACAGAGAGAAAGAGACTGAGATCTCCCTCTGCTGGTTCACTCCCTAAATGGCTGCAATGGCTGGAGCCAAGCCGATCTGAAGCCAGGAGCCAGGAGCTACTTCTGGGTCTCCTGTGTTGGTGCAGGGTCCCAAGGCTTTGGGGCATCCTCAACTGCTTTCCCAGGTTACAAGCAGGGAGCTGGATGGGAAGCAGAGTAGCCAGGACATGAACTGGCACCCATATGGGATGCTGGTGCTTAGAGGTAGAGGATTAAGCCATCATGCCATCCCCGAGCTGTGGTTCTTAAAGTGCCAGGCCAGCAGCATCCGCCTTACTGGGGAGCTTGGTGGAAACACAGGGTCAGGGGTGAGGCCTAGCACCCTGAGCCTCTGGCACCTGCTGAGTGTTGGGAGACACTGCTCTGCAGTGTTAAAAGCTGGACTGGGGACACTCTGGGTGGGACACAGACCAGGAGCCGCTGAGTGCTGCTCTATCCCATAACGCAGCACAATTGTCATGCAGTTCAGGGGTTCCGGGTTCCTGCAGTGGCCACAGGGTTTGATTTTTTCCCTCTGAATTCATACCTTGAGTTACTCTGGCTGCTGCAGTGTTAGGGCCTCTGCCTCTCCCTGGGTGCCCACCTGTTGAGTGTCTCAAATGGCTGAGTCGCAGCGACAGGGCAAATGCTAAGAGACCATTGAGATGAGAGACTTGGGAAGTGAGTCCCACACACATCAGATGGCCCTGACTAAACCCATCCTGTAGCTGCCCCCTTCAGGGTCTCCTCTTCATTTCTGCTCCACTGGGCCACAACACACTTGGATGTGAAACACCAGCATCCACTTCTGTAGATGCCACCTTTCTTCCTTGGCTCCCTGGGGACCGAGCAGCCAGAGGGAGACAGGCAGGTCTCAGGAGCAGCTTCCTGTCTTCCAGGTCAGGTCCCTTGAAAGATGACTCATCCATGGTGCCCCTGGGCACCCTGCCTCCCTCACTCCCCCTTGCCTTCCCTGCCCGCCCCCCCCTTACATCCACTGCCAACTAAGGGTGTCCATCTGCCTGTGCTTTCTCCTCTTCACTCCTAGGCATAAGCATTCCCAGGAAGGATTGGGTTTGGGTGTGAATTCTAGCATTTCAAGTAACAAACATGCTGGCATCTCTGTCCATCTTCATCTGCAATAGTCATCCCAGTGGATATTTGAAAGGATTCAGTGAGATTCCAAGTTCACACAAATGCTGAGTGTTTAGAGTAAGTGTGTCCTGTGTCATATGGGATAGATGAATAGCGGCACATGTGGTTTTCAAAGGTCACTGGATGTCCTACCCTTTATCTGGCCACCCTAAGCACTGACTTTATCTGGCCAACCTAAGCACTGACGTTGGTCAGGAGCCAATGAAAGACTAGTGCCCATGGATCCTTTTGAATCATTTGTTCCTGTTTTCTGAGCTACCTTTGTGCCAATATGTTGTTGGCTACTTGGGGTACATGAGTGATAGATGACATAAGTCAAAGTGGGTTACAGAGTGTGTTGGGGTAAGTGCCATGGGGAAAACAGCACAGAAGTGTGGGAACGAAAGGGTTATGACTTTATGAGGGGAGACTTCATTAAGAGCTTGCTCTTTGGACAGAGTCTTGTGGGAACCCCTGAGGGAGAAGAGTATTCTAGACCTAAGCCATGCTGTGTGCAAGACCCAACAGTTTAAGGTCCCAGAGAGGGGCTTGGTTGTCATCTGCTTTGATTCCTCAAGAAGTACATTTCAGCTGTGAAAGGCGAATTTGTTGTTTCCTGAAACTGGAGAGTTCTGATGTGGATTGCAGGTGCAGCTGGATCCAGGTGTTCAGATGATACCACCAGGATTCCATCACTTTTTTCCTCTGAGGTGGCTTCATTTTCAGGGATTGATTGTGTTTGCCACTCATTCCAGTAGGTTTGCAAGCTGTGTTGTCACAGAGCCATTGGACCACTTGGCCCTGTCACTTTGCTGTAGTGGCAGGGGAGTGGATTTGGATACAGGGTACTGATGACTGGAGCCAGTGTGAGGCTTGTTGAATGGCACACACTGAGATGGGGAGATGGGGATTTCTTTAAAGAAAGTAATGGTGAAGATGGTAGGATGCTGGGCAGACAGAAATCATATGGTACCGAACCAACCTCTTTCCTAACCATTCTGAGACACACAAACACTCCAACAAAGATTTTTTTCCCCTCCTAAATGTGAGTCTTTTTTTCTTTAATATAGCAAGAGAGTAATATCCTTTTATGGTCACAGAAGAAATAGAGAAAAGATTTCCTGTTTGTAAAGGATTTGTATATTTATTTGAAATGAAGAGTTACAGAGAAGGAAATTGTCCATCCTTTTGTTCAGCCCCCCCCCCCCCAAATGGCTGTAATGGCTTGGGTCTGGACAAGACTAAAACCAGGAGCCTTGGAACTCCAACCAGGTCTCCCACATGGGTATAGGGGGCCTCTTTTGCTGCCTTCCCAGGTGTGTTAGCAGGGAGCTAGATGAGAAGTGGAGTCATCAGGACTCAGACCCAGACAGATGCTCCATGATGGAATCCAGCATTATAGCTGACACCGGCCCAAGATTCCTTTTTGAAGAACTTAAGACACAGTCAAACCCGAGCTTCTTCCTTTCTGTCCCGCCTGAGTATCCCTAAACCAATTCCAACCTTAGCCAGAGACCCCTTTGGATTTGGGTCTTGATTCTTTATGGGAAGAGTGTGGTATTTAAATCCACCTGGTGCCCGTGTCTCAACTCTTTCTGTTCTTTCTGTTTCTAGGAGGCCCAGAAGATTAACAATGGCTCAAGCCAGGCAGACGGCACACTCAAGCCGGTGGACGAAAAAGAGGAGGCGGTGGCTGCGGAGGTTGGTTGGATGACCTCTGTGAAGGACTGGGCGGGGGTGATGATATCTGCCCAGACGCTGACCGGCAGAGTCCTGGTGAGTCCCCATGCGCTCCTAACCCCAGGAGGCCTGGCTGGCTGGACTGTGTTCTCTCTCAATGTCATGTCGTGTTCTCCAGGCCACTGACTGTTGAAGGGGGCGGGGCATGAGCAGTAAGTGATGCTGTGTGGTCCTGATGTTGTCTGTGGACTCTAAAGCCAGTGGTTTGTGGAGGGATTTGCAAAGAGTGGGCCAGCATTGTGGGCAGAGAGAGTTTGTCGGAAGGCTATGGCACAAATAGGTGCACATGTGTGTGTGTTGATGTGTGTAATTTACACCTGGACTAGCTTGATACAAAGGGGAAGTCAAGCAAACATGCAGCAGAAACTTATGGAAGACCTGGAAATACTGAAGTCATGAGTCTGCACTGGGCCAGAAATGTTCCTGGGTGGGAGACTGCGTGGGGTGTAGTGTGATCGAGGCCGTGGGGCCTGGGGTAGACTTTGCCTAAGGCCCTTTGTGAAAGACTCTCACTGATGGGCTTTGCAGTGGAACTGTAGGAGGTGGAACTCTGTGCCTGGCACTCACGTGGGGCTCCAGGGAATTTCTGCATTCTGTATGTACGTTGGTGATGGTGAATGACGAACAGCAGACAGTTGGGCTGATTGCATGTGACAGTGGCTCCCTCCACCTGGCCATCACAGACAGCTCTAATTATCTCCGTCTGCGTCAGCTAGGAGTTACTGAGCATCAACTCCAGGCTGAGTGCTTCCCCCGCCCCCTACCTCCCTGCAGAAAACCAGGATTGATATGGATTCTACTGCACCACGCATGTAGGGTATTGAAGGAATGTATGGAGCATAAATGCTGTGGACTACCAGCCATGTGTGGAGTGAAGAGGGGAAGGAGGAGGGCAAGAGCTTCACGTGCCTCATAGGGAGAAAAGGTTTGAATGGAAATGGCTGAGTGGATGCTTATGGTAGAGAAGAAACAAAAATGATGCCATATTTGGGCTTTGAAATGAGAAGCGGCACTGCTTGGTGAACCAGCCGCTGTGATGACACCTAGTAAGATGAAGCATTTGGGTCGACCTTTGAGTTGCGAGTTAGGATCCTGGAGATTAGAGGATAAGAAATCATTCTAGAGAGAGTGAACCTCAGGGGCAGAGAAGCCCTGTGGGAGTGAGTGGAGCACTGCCGATGGAGACCCAGGGCTGTACATCAGCAGGCGGCCTGAACAAGCGAGAGCAGGGAAGGTGGGCCGCAGACAGCTTGTAGGGTCTTTGAAGCCAGGTAGAAGATGCTGGCCGAGTTTGAGAAAAAGGCCTCGTGTTTTGTGTCCCCCCTCACGCCCAACTGGACAAGGGATGTTGGTGGACGAGTGGAGGTCCAAGGGAGAGGCATAGGAAGATCCCGGACTTGCTAATATCTGTGCAGCTTAGAGTGTTAGAGCCATACTAGCACCATGAGCCTCCCGACTTGCAGCCTCCTGCTTTTCATGTCATTACCTTCCAGTTGAAGGCAATGCCTGCACTTTTCTAAGCCCCTGCTGCCTGTCACTCTGGCATGGACATCTCAAAGCCAATTAGGTCCTGAACCTGCTTGGCCTGGCTCTCTGAGCATTTTGCATACAGAAGTGCAGTTGGTTCATGCTTCCTGTGCCTGGGCTGCCAAGCTACCAGGCTGCTCTCTGAGGGTCTCCTTGGAGAGAGTTGTTCTTGGACTTCTTGGAGCATAGTTGGGCTGTCCAGACAAGCAGCAGGTATCTCAGAGTTCAGACGGGACCTGCACTTCCTCAGGAGAAGGCTGGGCCTTCCTCTGAACAAAGAGCAGATTTTGTGCACAAGTTGTGACTCTGCCCAACAAGAGCCTGAAGCTGTGTTTGTCAGGAGCCATCTAAATGTTGATTCCTGTAATGGGGAGATCAAGGCAACATTTACCCTGTTGGTTTTTGTTTCTCTTGAAACATATGCTGAGGAGCTCAGCCTCCACTCCTGGGCCCTGTTCTCCCTTGCTAATGGTCACAAGGGAGAATCTGGAAGCTGAGGCATTGGGGTCAGGTCTAGCCTGGGGAGATTTCTTGGACATTCATTCAGCAGGTGCTGTTTGCCACCTGTGCTGGCCCCTGTTTCAGGCACTGGACCTGAAGCATTGAGCAGCAGGGATACAGGGTGTGGAGCAATTCTACTGATAATGCTGCATACAAAGTCGTAAAGCTCAATCTAGAAAATGACAAGTGATCATCGCTGTTGATCCGTGCTTTTTATAGCCAATGCCTAGAGCTTCAACTTCAGATTGAAAAAAAAAAATCCCTGACCATGACATGGCTCTCGAGCTCAGAATAGTCTTTTTGTTTTGCCTTGCCTCTTACCCTGGTACTCAGATTTAGTTAGTTGAACAAAAATAGCAAGCCTGGACAAAGCCTTCTCTTGCAGAACCTTGCTGAAGGATTCTATAATCAGGTACACTGGACTATCAACTACTGTTGCCATTGCTTTTTCTGAACGATAAATTGATTGATCTACATCTATGTATGTATGTATGTATGTATCTATCTATCTATGTATCTATCTATCTATCTATCTATCTATCTATCTATCTATCTGAAAGGCAGAGTGAGCAAGTTACAGAGGCAGGAGGAGAGAGAGGATGAAGAGATCTATTTTGAGATCCGCTGGCCCAGAATTCAAATGCCCCTAGCAGCTGGGGTTAGAACCAGGCTGAAGCTAAGAGCCTGGATCTACACCCAGTCTCTCACATGGGTGGCAGGGGTCCAAATACTTGGGCCGTTATCCTCTGCCTTCCAAGCCCATTGGTAGGAAGCTGGACCTGAAGGCAGAGGCGGGACTCCTCCCAGGCACTGCAGTGTGGGATGTGGGTTTCCCAAGCAAGCAGCTTCATCTGTTTTATCACAATGCTTGCTCCACCTCTACCTTTTAGGTTTAGTTGAAAAAACATATTATTCTATAATTATAAAAATACAATCATCTCTCCATATTGATTGATTTCACATGCATGTATTCAATCAACTGCAGATTTTAAAAATTGAAAAAAAAATTACTGAACAGTTATAGTCCTTTTTCTTGTCATTCCCCCATAAACAATACAATTGAACAGCTAAAAGACACAAGGTCATATACCAGAGGACTCATTCATAAAGGGAAAGTAGTGGACACAGGTGCACCTACACACCTACAACATCACTGTCAGCAAATGATTCCTAGCAGACATCCTCTTACCTTAGAATGCCACCTCCCTGGGAAAGCTGTTCTGGGACCAAGGATGGACTGACTTCAGGGTTTGAGTCATGTCTACATGACCTGGGTTTTACTCCTAACTTCCCTCTCCACACTCCTGCCCGCCCCCACCCCTGAGAGTCAGTGTTTTGTGCTTCTCTTTGTAGCTCTTTTTTTTTTTTTTTAGGATTTTTTTTTTATTGATTGTATTGTATTATGTGACACAGTTTTATAGGCACTGGGATTCCCCCCTTCCCTCCCCATAACCTGCCCCACCCCCCATGGTGGATTCTTGTTGCATTACCACAGTTCAAATTCAGTTGAGATTCTTTCCTTGCAAGCATCTACAAAGCATAGAGTCCAGCATCTTATTGTCCAGATAAGTTCAACAGTTTCATGGGGAGACCATCTCTGGTCTGAAGGTAGAGCCGACAGAGTATCATCACAATCAATTAAAAGCCCTGACATTACATCAGTAACAATTTATAACGTAATAGAATTAGCTGACATGGTATTGTGTAACCAGCATATTAAGAAAGAGAGAGATAGAGAGAGGGAGAGAGAGAGTGTGTGCACATTTTGAACCACATCCTGTGACTTCTACATTGACATTACAATTATTAGTTTATATACAACTGGGTTCTATATACCTTAAAATGGCTATAAATTTCTATTCGGCTGTCTCATGTCTATTTTAATTTTAGTATTTAGCAGTTTATAGCGTTGAAGCATGATTTTGCAGAACCTGGCTGTTTTTCGGGTAGTCTAACTCTATAACTCTAACTAGACATATGTCAACAGTTTAGGTGAACAGTTTTAGGAGGGGTGTGCAGAGAAATCTTCAATACCCTAGTGAGGAGTAACTAATCTTTGTGTCCCACCCAGTGAGTTATAAGTGCATCCCCACTGCCTGTTTCCTGTTTCTAAGCTTTCCTTGCTGCTCTCTATCTGTTCTATGGTTTTTTTGTTTGTTTATTTGTTTATTTGTTAGTTTGTTTTGGGGGATTTCAGGAGTGATCCTGATGGTCATTACGAGAGAGGGTGGGGACCCAAAGTTGGCACCAGGCAAGAACCAAAGAAAGCTCATCTCCCTAGTCCCGAAGGAAGTTTACTGTTTTGTTTCTGCGGACCGCTCAGTGCTCCTGGTTGTTGTTCCGATGACCTTGGATCCTGCAAGGCAGGGTATGGGCCTCTTCCATCCCATGTGGGAGATCCAAATGGAGGTGGGTGACCTCAGAGTTCTCGGCCTTTGAAGGCACTCCAATTCCCCGTGGTCTCCTTGGCAGTTGGGATGTAGTCCTCGGAGCTCGTACTGATAGTCCTTGGAGAGGATTTAGGAGTCTTCAGGGTTGAGATACAAGCCTCCTCCTGTCTGCCTGCTCCATTCTGGGGTCCCCCCCTGCTCTGTGCATATGATCTCCTGTTAAGAGGTTGTTGGGATTGCTCCTGATTCCCCCCATATGCCTTTATAGTTTTGCTATTGTCTAATGCTGATTTGAGTCTGTTGTCTATGAGTTACCAGTTATGATCCTGATAGGTTATACTTCCCATCTTCCTCACACCTTCTTGGGTGATGTAAGATTTCTCTGCTCTCCCTCCCTGTAGCTCAGTCTTGACCCTACAGTGACCATGTCCTTCGGCAACTAGAAAGCCCTTAGGATCCCACAGTTTGCTTGCTTTCCCATGGTCCTATGCTGCTGGATTTTGAATATTGCTCCAGGACATGTCCCCATCCAACTCCATGAACTGAAAATATTTGCTGCTTACTGTAATGTCTGAGGGATGATTTATCAGCCTAAGGAGAAATAAAACACCAGTTTCT